AAAGGCGTCATAATTGAATATTTTTGGTTGGTTTCCACCCTGGGAATGGCGTTAAATCGCTGGAAAAAAAATTGCAAGAAAAAGCTTACAGTTGTTTAGACTCATCAAATGACATATCTTCTTTTGAAAGCTTCCAAGTAGATAACATGTTCAAAATTTGTCGTATATCTGATTGAGCTCCCGTGATCAATTGTTCTAGCACATTAGCAGGGATGTTCATTTTCTCTCTAGTATCTCTGTCACTTGGGAATGGGCTTCCGGTTTTATCGACTCACTTGTAACAGATACTAGCGATTCTGGATTTGATTTGAGCAGCGGGTGGCCTGCATATGACATGAGCCACAAATTTATTATTAGAAAGGTTAGACAAACTTTTGAAACTGAATATTCGCAGCGGTTCCAATCAGGGGTTTCAGTTTCTGAGATTGTGCATCATTTGCGATACAAATTATTGGGATCTCGGGGTATTTTAATCAATCAGCAGAAGCTAGAACAGTGGACGGACCTTGGTTTTCTTTATCAAGGCTTTAAGGGCCACTACACCACCACGATCTCCCGCAGACATACCGTCTACTTCATCCATGATAAGAACCGTCTTGTCCGTGAAAGTGCCTGCCACACCGCTTGTGGCCTGACTTCTTTGAATAAAAGTCATAATCGCTTATCCAGAACTCACATCTTTTCCTGTCATCCAGGTGTCCAATGAAGCATTATTGATGTTCGTTGCGCTCTTGAAAGTGGTTCAGGAGGTGGATAATATAAGAGTCCTGTGACTTACCTCCACCAGCTTTTTGCTACGTGCATCGCTTGCATTCAGTTCGATGGTTGTATACCCTTCCAACTTAGCGCAGAGATGGGCAGAGGTTGTTTTACCCACTCCAGGAGGACCGTAGAGAAGGAGTGCTTTGTGGGTGTTGATTGCAAATTTCCCGCCATTTCTAAACCCAACTCGGCGAGACTCGGGCCTATCAAATTTACTCAGGACAACGTTTGAAAGGCTGTGGCTTGTATATACCAATCATGAAGCCAGGTCTGGATCTTCTCCACAGCAGTTTTATTGCCACAAATTTGAGCAAGTGATGTTGGAGCATATTTAGTAGTCCACAGCTGGGAAGACGGGTCTCTGTTTAACTGTCAGTACATAACGAGAAAGGATATTGAAAACCTACGCTGCTGGTCTATCCTTCTGTGTAGCTACTTTGGCTTCTTTCCGCTCTTGTTTTTCCATCTCTTGTGCATCCTTCTTGATCTTCTCCTCTTCTTTCTTCAGTTTTTCTTTCGTCTTATCGTCGAGAACCGCTTCACTACTTGACTTAAAAAAAGGACATTTCATTCAGAAGGTGACATACCGTGTTGCAATAAGGTCAAGGAAACCGTCTTCATCTAAAGTTTTGAGACCATTCTTCTTTATAGTTGCTATTTTGGATGGCCCGGCGCCCTCTCCGACTACCACATAGGACGTTTTACTTGATGGTGCACCTGTAACGCGCCTGAAACGACGATTAATTCTACTCGGAAATAAATGTGGTCGGCTTACCCTCCATATCTTTTAGCTAAATCCATTGCTTCCTCCCGGGACAAGCTAGTCAGCTCTCCGGTGAACACAAAAGTGAGACCAGCGAGACAATTTGGTTGACCGACAGGTATGTCTTTGGGTCCAGGAGCTGAAGGACCGGCAGAACGCTTTGCCATGACTGCCGCAAAACTTTGGCGGGTTAGATGACGACAGTTCAGCGATCCGATGGACCCACCTTGGTTTATTCGCTTTTGTCTCGCCCGCTTTCTCCTCAACTTTAGGTTTTGACTCCTTTTTTGACTCCTTTTTTGACTCCTTCTTTGACGCTGCCGGAATGACTTTTTTGGGTGGTGGCTTTTTCGAAGAGCCTGCTTTCTCCGATGACGACTCATCCGACGAAATGTCCAGGACTGTGCCGCGCTTCGTCGTCTCCGCAGTCTTTTTTGGAGGCACAGACGGTTTCGTTTTATTCGATTTCCCTTCTGTAACAGCTACTCTTTTGCGCGGCGGAGCCAAATCCTCTTCTTCTTCCTCGTCGGACGTGATGATTGTTGCCACACTCTTTCGTTTACGAGAGGCGGCTTCATTAGACTTCTTTGCGCCGCCTTTGGGAATTCTTTCTGCTTCACTTTCACTTGTAATATCTCTCTCGTATTTCCTAGAGCGAGGTTAGACTCAGATCGGAACAATGTACACATTGGGTCAGGCTTACATGTCTACATCTGAACCGAGTCTCAAACCGCCCATCTTTTGGGAAAACTTTTTACCAGACGTACTAGGATAATGTATGAGATCACCGAAACTGTATCGAATCATACTAACCTCTCATCGTCACCTGCAGACAAATGAATTAGCACAACACGCGTCAAACGCGCGAAACAAATCACACTACTAACTTAAGATGATTGGGTTGGCGAGATTGCCCTTCTGGGCTGCCGGTTTATGTGTGGATGGCTGCCTTACAGTGAGTTTCCCTTCGTTGTGACAGAACATATAAACCTTACCATACCGCGAGACTCTCTAAAGAAGTTCCGAATATCTGCTGGTTTAGTCGTACTTTCTTTTGTTGTTGCCGGCATGATATTCAAAATGTGGTCGGGTCAAAAGCAAGATTTACGCTTACTCCAGTAGTGAAACAGAAAGTGTGCAGAAAAAACTATGAAGAGATGCGTGTAGTTTACTCTACAGGATGTGGCAATAAATTAATTCAGATAACACTCGAACAAGGTTCACCAAATTCTTACCCGAAGTAAGAAAGCCGAAGGTTGACGCTATACCTAGCCAATATGTGAGTAAAATGTCAAAAAATAGATTTAGAAAATGAATGTTCAGAGTTGCACGATATGTTTGGCTGGTGCTTTGCCTTGTCCGCACTAAATCTCAGACTGGGGCGGCAATAGACCTCATCATCAAGCGAACTGATTATATATGCTCACTTTTCGGTTAAGATACGCCCGTGCAAAAACGGCCTAGTCCCTGATCGCTTTGCTTGTTTGAGGGGTAGTCGAGGGAACCAAGAAGCGTTGACCACATTTGAAGACAAAGGAACCACAACACATCATATTTACTAGCGTCGTCTCGATATGGTACATGCATTATTTGGCAGTTAAGTATGGACGAAAGGCTGGTCTTTATGTACACGTAGAGTAAGACCAGAGAAGAATAGAATCATGTCATAGAAACACCTCATTGTATGGCCTCATGCAAACATGTATGGTCGTCAAATTGGAGATCGTCGAGTATGTTGATAACTGAGTCGTTAATAGTCGCAATTTCTGTAAATTGGCTCGATGTATGGAAGCCTCAGCATCTCGAATAGATGACGTTCAGACTGAACCAAGATGCGGGCCATATCCCGACGCCTCGTAAGACCGCTGCTATCAAATTTATATTCCCTATAATGATGGATAAGTGAACGGGCCAGAAAGATAAGCAAGTTATGCCTACATTTTATCCTTACACCACCTTCGTAAATCGCGCTCGAATGTGATGGACCCAGTCCTAAAAGAGGGGGCTGAGAGACTGGACATGATGCGAAACTGCGAAACTACATACCATCCAACTACGGCACACCAATAACTTTGCATAGGGGCGTATATTAGGTCAACACGACGGTGAATACGGGGTTGCCCAGCGGGATTGTTTGGGAAAGAAGGTGCATCTTGCGGCAATACAAACACAGATAGAACGCGTTGAAGGGCCTGGTCTTGGGAATACGATTTCATACCTCCTGGAGTCCTAAAGGAAGACGGAGCTGACACATCCAATGAGCCATAGATTCGGTGATGTTGATTTCAAAGCACCTACGAAGGAGATGGGTGACGATACCACGTTTTTGCAACCGAGAAAGAAGAATGTCCATACCTCCTTTCCCTTTTTGGTTGATGGGGTGAGAGAAGACAATGTCAATATCGTTACTCTCTGGCTTTCCACGTCTGTATCTATACAATCATGAGAATATGAATATGTCCAAAGGCAAACTGGCTCACCCCCCGGTGATGGTATGCACAAACCCGGGATTGATGTTCTCAAGTTCTTCGGCAACAAGTCGTGCAATCTGCTCTACTTCAGCTCGGGAGATCCTGTTGGGAGAAATGATAGGAGCGTTGTACGTTCAGTTCGCGCCGCTGCAGGCCTGGTATGATTGGGCTTACTTGAGCTCGAATTCATCGCGCAGTGCAAGAGAGTGGAGCATACTCTGTGTATTTGCAATATCCTTGCTCTTTGCCGACTCCAGTTCTCGTGAAAAGTATTCTTTCAAGTCGTCAAATGAACGCAGCCCCATGTCGTACAATTGTCGTGCTTTGGTTGGTCCGATGCCGTAAATTTTGGTGAATTCTGCCAGTATATTATACATGGGATCACGTTGAAGCATCTGGGTCTCTTCGATCATCCCAGTTTTGAGATATTGTCTCATCTATGAAAATGAGCCACGTCTCTGAATCACACGAAGCCCATACCTTGTCGGTGATCTTTGGCCCTACCCATGGGAGTTGTTTTATTTCCGACACAGAAGTAATTCTACGTGGATAAGCTAAACAGATAGGTCATCAAATTTGATCAGGATCACAGGGCGCTCTGTACCTTTAATACTCTAGATGGGATTGGTCAGAGAAGCCTTTGCTTGAAGCATGATGAAGACCTACTGCAATGGCCCGGGCATAGCTCAGCTCACTCGTCTCTTCCCTATCCAACCACCGCGCACGCTTGATTACAGCCAGCTGCCCAATAAAGTCTTGGTTAGGACATGTCAAAGGAGTACGTCGATGAACCGAGTAATTTGAAGTCAATCCGACGGCATTGAATTCTTCTATATCTGATGTATCGGATAGCTCGATGGGTGATGATTTAGACCCTGACGGAATGATGGCCATCTTGACATCTGGCTCGCTCTTGAACAACATCGATGGAGGCTTGAGTGAGTCGATAGCAAGATATTTGTCATAATCCAATAATTTGTGTTCCTTCACAGACCTCCTGAGCCACCTTGGTTGTACAACGGCTCTCTCTTGCTACAGTGGCCCAAACAACTCTTCACGCTCTAGCCATCCTCGCGATGTGAGACGCGTGCTACCTTGTACATAGAGAATAAAAGTTAGATTAAATCAATGAAAATAGTATATCATGATCTTTATATAATATCTTTGTAAGGTGTGATTTGAGCGACAAATGGTCATGCTACAGACCATGCGGTGAGGTAGTGTTCCATGAACAGTTGTTGTGCAAATGGGCGCAACGCACAGATCATGTGACCACGCGATATTTGGACCTCGCAAACTTGTACAAACTTGACCAAATTATGTAGAATGATATAAAAAGACTCGGGAGATGTGTTGAGACATGCTACATTTGATCATGGCTCTCTCACTACAGCGTCAAACCGAGCTCCGCAACATACTGGTACTAGGCCAAACCTACCCTGTTATCTCCCAAAAATTATCCATCGCACCTTCTACCATCTCTAAATACAAAAAAAAGTTCGATCTCTCACTTCCTCATAACAAGGGTGGCCGGCCACACCTCCTTACTGAGAAGACCCGCCGTCGCCTTGTCCACTGTATCCTATCTGGACGGGCCGACACAGCACCTGAAGTCAAGCGGCTGCTTGGACTTCGAGTTAGTAATCAAACAATCAGAAATGTCCTCAGAGCAGCCCACCTCCGAGCACGCACTAAAGCAAAGAAGGCCCTACTCACCATTGGCCACCGATACTGACGTCTCCAATTCGCCTATGCGCATCGCTACAAGACCCCAGATGACTGGGCACGCATCATTTTTTCAGATGAAATGAAGATTAACCGAATGGGATCGGATGGTCGCCGCTATTGCTGGAAGGCACCCGGGGAGGAGCTCTCGAGGCGTACAGTCCAGGCCACTGTCAAGCATGGTGGTGGGTCTGTAATGGTGTGGGGCTCGATGACGATGAAAGGAGTGGGGAGAATGTGTTTCATTGATGGAATTATGGATGCGACAAAGTACGTCAAAATTTTGGACCAGCATTTGCTCGCTACAGCCCGGGAACATTCGATGCACCGTAGTGGGTTCACCTTCCAGCAAGACGGGGACCCAAAGCACACGTCAGCCAAAGCCCGCAACTGGTTTCAAGATCATCGTGTCAATGTCTTGAAGTGGCCAGCGCAGTCCCCAGACCTCAACCCCATCGAGCACTTGTGGGACCATCTGAAGCGACGCCTCAACTCTTATGAGGACCACCCATCAAGCATCCATGAGCTTGAGCGGAGGATTGAGGTGGAATGGAATAATATCGATCCAGAGGTGTGTAGAAATTTGATCTTGAGCATGCCGAAGAGGATTAGGGCAGTAATTCGGGCACGAGGAGGTCATACAAAGTATTAGCACAATAACTGTTCACGCTCTGCTTCTCCTTCTTCTGTCCCCTTTCTCGTCATCCCTAATAGCGGCTACACTAAACACCCTCACAAGTTGTTAATTTGATAGTAATCTTGAATTCCTGCATCTATTTTTCTCTTCTAACTACATGCTCTATGAGTTAATGTGCTACTTTGTGAAAAAGGCTCCGAGCGTGAAGAGTTGTTTGGGCCACTGTACAAAGGGATTTATGAGTAAGGCAAAATACCTCAAATAATTGAAATGAAA